TCTGCTGTTCCTCGCTCATTTTTGACATATCATATCCTGCAGATGGTAAAGAAGAAAAGAGCGACAAGGTTTTTCTCAATGACTTAAGTCCGAGACCCTTTTGTTCGGTTTGGCGAACTTCCGGAACTGATGTGCCTGTTTTTTCGACATACTGTAGAACTCCGTCGGAAGGATCCACTGCTCTGGGCGTCTCAGAGACAAATATATCTTGAAGATCTCCAAGTCCCTCCGCTAGATTGTATGTGGGGCAAATATGGTTGATGATATCCAGTTCGTGGGGTAGCAAAACATTGCATGCTAGAACCTCCAAACCAGCTTCTCCTTGGACCATGTCCATATATCTTGATACCAGTCTATCACGTCGTTGACCTGGAGGCGATTGAAGTGAAGCCTTCAGCATATATGCTACAGTCAAGGCATCTTGTGGAAGATTCTTGTTTCGTACTTCGAGTTCGAACCACTTATGCAGAAACTGTGTCGCTTGCTCTGAGGGTTTCATGGTAATCTCGTAGACTGCAGCACGTAAGAATTGGTTTTGTAATTGTAGTAGTGTCTCTCTGTCGACTTCTTCCATTTGTGCCACGCGTTTAAAAATCACACTCGCACGCTCTATCCTTCCAACCTGAAGGCAAGCAATGAGTAGTGCTATAATTTCATCACTAGTACCGCCGACCGCATCATTACCTCCACGCCGATGTCTTTTGGGAGCTCCCGCACTATCATCCGGGATTATGATTGGCGTCTGAAGTTTCGGTATACTGAATGGCAATGATGCATAATTGTTCGATGATGAATTGTGTAACCCTTCGAATGGAATCTCTTCGAACGGCTGATTTATGGCCGTTGCTAATGACCGCGATGGAGGTTTTGTAGCATTGTCTCTCGAGTTTCGTCTTCTCCGTAACCCAGTCGCATGATGCCCTGAGTCGACATTAATATTCCGGCATGCCACAACTTGATTCGAATGGATAGTTGGATATAGAAAAGGAAGATATGCTTGCTGTTGACGTTTAAGTCTATCAACAATTGGGTTGCCACGAGCTTTTCGCCCTGCAGCTCGGACAAGCATTTTTGATAGATGGAGAGGGTATACTCGAAAGAGGGGAAGACAGAGTTATATCTAAGAAAAAGAGTATACAGAAAAAAGAGTGGTATGAGAAAAACTATCTTTAAGAGTCGAAGGACAAAACTAATGAGCTCATAATCGGTACAATTCACAAATAGTAAATGTACAATGCTTTTGAGGTCTAGAGATCAATGTGTGGACGAAGGATGAATAGGTCACAATTTGAAGGCAAAATTGAACATTTTTTTCTTCTTTTTGGACCTGGTATGTACCGACCGGATAAGCAGAAAATGTTACAGGGGTCACCTTCGATAAGAGCCCAATCAGCTGTGTCCGAAATTTAGCCGTCCGCGAGGCGATCAGCCTTGTGAGTTTTCAGTCAATTAGACGAGTGCCTACTCGCCTCACAGACTGATAAGAGCTCTACTTCGTCAGCCTTGCTGATATCACCACGTGACCATCATTGCACTCAGACCTACATGTTCGTTCTTTCGACATTGTATGTTAGGTATGTTTTGGTAATTTGTCAGAAGTTGGAAGAGATCAAGTCCTCAGCAATTTCTTAATTACTTGGTTATATACATGCCTATTCTACCTAAGCATACTACAATCCATACCCACCTACCTACTTGGGAGAATTTCAACAGACAGTAGCCCCGCGAGAACCCACTGGATGCATGTTCGCTAAAATCTTCCCCAGAAAAAATGTCTAACCTAGGCAATTGGAAACCACAATCCTTCATGCTATAGTTGAATGTTTACAAACATCACCAATTGTTCAGTATGGTTGTTAGTAAAGCCATAAGAGCTACTGGATGCGCATCATGTCGCTTATCATTATTGCGAAATGTTGTATCGCTTCCAATTCGGACTATGCCAGCGTCTGGGAAACTTCAGTCGAATAAGCTTCCGAGGCAACAGATTCGATTTCTATCTCATTCACGATTGATCGAACAGGATGAAACTTCCAAGCATGAGGAGGTTTTGGAAGACCAGGAGATTTTAGATGGGGATAAGGCAGATAGAGAGGGGGTCGAGAAAGGAAATCTCCAAGATCAGGATATTCTGGAAGATCGAGACCTTTTGGATGAGAACCAGGCAATGGGCGAAGAGGTCGAGAATTCGATTTCTGCTGTGCCATGGTATTTACAAGTTGAAGCACCTCAAAAAACGCCTCAAACCCTTTCTGAACGTCAAAAAATTCCAGACCTACCAGAATTGCCACCTCCGATACTCGAACCTATGCTACAAGAGATCTCGGTCGACTTAGGCCTCGACAATCTTACAATATTAGATTTACGAAAGCTTGACCCTCCACCTGCGCTAGGAGCGAATTTGATAATGCTTATTGGAACTGCACGAAGTGAAAAGCATTTACATGTTTCTGCGGATCGATTGTGTCGGTGGTTGAGAAGTACATATAAATTACGACCAAGCGCAGATGGACTATTGGGAAGAAACGAATTGAAATTGAAGTTGAGACGCAAATCACGGAGAGCCAAGCTTCTCGGTAGTGTGGGTGATGAGAGTGGCGATGATGGCATAAGAACGGGTTGGGTTTGCGTCGATATAGGTGTGGTTGAGAGCCCAGATATACATGCAAATGCTACACCCGAAGGCGATGGCTTTGTGGGCTTTGGAAGACGAACCGATGGTGTCAGAATTGTCGTTCAAATGCTTACCGAAGAGAAGAGAGAAGAGATTGATCTAGAAAAGTTATGGGGTGGAATTTTGCGAAGGTCTGGTCAGTCGGAAGTTGAAGTTGAAGAGGTCGGAGAAGATGCAAAGGTCGGAGAACCAATATCTACATCAATTTCCCAACCTTCACAACATACTACAGCATCAACCGTTAAACCTCGAGGTTTTCAAATCCCCCAGACTCGACAATTTCATACTTCGGTAGAAAGAAAATCTGACAATCTAAGTGACCAACACCCACACGGTATCTTATCCTCACCACAGCAAGACGGACCAATTGAAAACAAAAGACTAACAGAACTCCAGCAATCAGTACTTTCCGACTTCTCCCTTGGTGAATTCGAAAGGGCGAAGAACAGTGTTTTGGAATACTGTGCTAACAACGTAGAGTTGGATTGGCAAAGTTTCTTGTTGCACCACTTGCGGATGTATCTTGAGAATGTCTCAGCGGAACAGGCAATGTTTGATTTAGGCAAAGGATATACTCCTGGGGATACATCCTTCCTCAAGTGTTTTAAATATGCTGTGGCTGGTGTCGGAGAACCCCACCACCCCGCTCCATTCAGGTGGGATTATGTCTTCTGGCTATTCCATTATGCTCGAGATATTGGACACCCTTGGTTTCATGCCATGAATTTAATAAACTTGTTCAGAAGATTTGAAAGAAAGAAAAATGACGATAGTGATATATCTGATGAATATTACCACAGAATCATACGTACCATACTTGAACCTGTCCATGGCCCTTCAGACACAAACTCCGCTCCTTCACGCCTCAATGCCCGGCTCGCATTAAAGGTCATTCAAACAATGTATCGACGCGGTCACAAGATTTTTACGGAAGAAATGTTCGTGACTTTACAAGAAGCCACAGAACGTATTCCGGACCTTGATATCACAACTGTTCAACCAGAAGCGACTGTTAATGATTCTTTCGGAATACCTACAAAGGCAATGTCGCCAATTCAACGTCGCATCCATACTCTAATGATGAACCTCGAGTCACCTCCCTTTTCAGATGAATCTAGAATGCGACTGATGCAACTATATGCACGAAATGAACAGTGGGTAGCCTTTTGGGATATTTGGAGATTGCCTCTTCGTCAATCCAAATCACAATCAGCCGACATGTATGCATATATGTTTCAGAGAGTAGCAGAGACAGGGCATCAGAAACTCTGTATTAAAGCATTGCACACTTGGATTGAGGACTTGGACCGTGAAGAACACACTGTGAAACTAGAAGGTGATGTTGCAGACGCTGTTAAGGCTTGTTTGATGGTTGCGGAGAAGGGTATCGAGCAAGAAGCAATTGCGAATCCTGAGAAAACCGGGCAATGGCATTCTTTATGGCGGAGATGCCATGGGGGAGATGAAGAATGGAAAAAAATTGTCGATATCATGGTTGCTGACTATGAGCAAGGCGTTGGCCAGAATGATGCTGTGTTTACCGATCAAGGATCTAACGAAATCTATAGTGATGAGTATCAAAAGGATCCAGTCACGTCTAAGGAACCCCCACTAGGGCAAGAATCTTCTCCCAATGCCTTCCAGCAAGAAATTGGTCAAGGCGACGATGCAAATACTCGTGGATGATACAATATGTATGGATTCGGCAGAGGAGACAATGACAGAGTAAAGTATTTACGACATGAATGACAATGTATTTGAATGAAGTTGATGACAGCTTGGAATTAAAGCCTCCTTCAAGAAGCAATAGCCGGGCCACTTTGTATATTCACAAATTGTGCCTCTTAATGAACATGATATTCTACCATTTTCTTGTATTTTCTGACTTGGCCTCTACAAATTCTCCAAAGATTAAAAAGCAGAACACTAATAACATTAGAGCTAATTATTTGAATTCAGTTAACATTGTTACTTTCCTTTTCATCTACAGTGTACAGTAGGAAAGCGAAAGCTCACCGGGAGTTAGAGGAAAGATGATAAAGTTCCAAGGTTCACTGATATCGACGTACCGATGTGGCTGTGAAGCAGGAATGAACCCCTGGAGCTAGCCGCTCGGACATCAATCATGATTGGTTAATCTACCAGTCCCCACGACAACAATTGACACAAGCCAACCACATCGAGTAAACTGTCACTTCATCACAAGGACTCACCGATTCAATGTCTCGTTTGATAAGAATAAATACCTACATGTTAGCACAACTCCTCTCATCCACCCTCTCTCATATACATTATTTTATTATTCTCTTCTAATCCGATCATCAAAATGAAACTCAATCGCTCCATCTTTTTGTGTCTGAGCCCTCTTCTTCCGTCAACACATGCATGGGGGACATTAGGTCACCAGACCGTAGCATATGTAGCTACGAATTTTGTAGCGGAAGAAACCAGAGATTATTTTCAAACACTCCTGAAAAATACAACTGGGAGTTATTTGGCAGGGGTAGCGACGGTAAGGATATTGGGAGACGGTTCTTTTGACTTGGACTGTGGTTCTTTGTGTATTCCGATCACATGAAGTTGTGTGAAGGAATTCGACTGTTTGTTAAGATCATTTGCTAATATTTTGAGGGGCAGTGGGCCGATAGCTTCAGGTAATTTCCCTGGAAATCTAATGATTCCTCTTGTCTGATTTGGTCTTAGATATACCAAGGCAGGAAAGCATACAGGCGCTTGGCATTTTATTGATGCATTGGATGATGTACCTAGGTGTTAGTATTCTCTTTCCTTTTGGAAAGTCTTGGGGATACGGAATTAGTGATAACTAGAGCCTTTGGAATGACGAAGCCATGCTGATGCTGAGGTGTTATCTAGCTTGTGGAGTTAAGTTTGCTAGGGATTGTGGGGAGGAAGGATGTGTGGTTGGAGCTATTTTGAATTTTGTGGGTAAACCTTTCTGAAGTTTCTGATGGTGCTTGGTGGGTATTGATGATCTTGCTTCATGTGTTTCTGTGATTACACGTCGAGAAAACACATTCCTCGTAACAATCATCATACACTGCACGTACTTGACTTTGGCTATGTATGAGGAAGCTTTAAAGTTGTTCAAAGATATGAAGATCAAAAGCAGCAATGTTCTATACTAATATTTGGGCTCAAGAAACTAAGATGAAAGTCAAGCTAATCGTAACCTTAGACGAACCAATTGCTTGACCCAAATGCTGTGAGGTATGACAAATATGTTGCTGCAAAGGTATGAAAGATCCATCTGTCCCTAAACATTACTGATATTCATGTAATAGTTCATCGTCCACGTAAGTTTTAACCTCCGAGTTCTTTTGGGTTAACTCACCAATTATTCAGTTTGTCGGAGACATTCACCAGCCTCTTCATGCTGAGAATATCGATGTGGGAGGAAATGCTATCGCTGTAAATTGGACTGGCAAAGATACTAATCTTCATCACGTTTGGGATTCGGCCATCCCCGAAAAGCTCGTTGGGGGTTATTCAATGAGTGATGCTCAAGACTGGGCAAACATTCTAACATCCGCTATTAATACGGGTGTGTATCAAGACCAAGCACAATCATGGCTAGAGGGTATGGATATAAGTGATCCATTGACAACGGCCCTGGGTTGGGCTAGAGACTCAAATGCTTTTATCTGTACAACGGTCATGCCAGATGGAGCAGATGCGTTACGGGGCAAGGAGCTGAGCGGTTATTATTATGATGCGTCTGTGCCAGTTATTCAACTACAAGTTGCAAGGGCAGGCTATAGGTCAGTAATCCCAATTACTAATTTTGAAAACACAATTCTAATTATACTGAAAGGTTGGCGGCTTGGTTAGACATGATTGTTAGTGGGTTTAAGACAGAGTTGTAGTGGCCTCACTTCTGTCTTGTACTTTGAGAACATTATGGGAACTTTCAGAGGGACTAGAATGAGATATTGTTATGAGATTGAAACAAATCACTGCGAGATACCAAAGCAAAGAGTGAACGATACTGAAATAGATAGGGGCTAGATATCCATAGAATATTAAATCTTCTGCTTGACAAGATTAATTCACCCACATTTTAACAAAATGGATTATCGACATCATGGCCACGTGGTAAGTCTTGACCAAGTGACCTGAAACGATCCTGGATCTTGAGTTCATCATGCATTCAAGTTGACGATGGAAGTCAGTGAATGAGATTACGTTGGAAACCAAGGAATCTGCCCAGATTCAGCAAGCCTCGAGTCCAAGGTTAGTACTTTTCCAGGGTATCTCAAAAATGTCTCATAGAGCATAGAGAAGATGCTTAGACACCAAAACAGACGTATTGTTTGTGAAAGATAATGAACAACCGGTATCTAAGCGAAGGAAATCAGACGAGAAAGAAACCAATACACACTCAAGTGAATCTCGCTTAATCACTCACATTCAAGGTGTCCATTCAGAGATTTCTCCTAGCAGGAACCTATGTTCTTGTCTTATCATGCACTGGAAACCATCAAATAGAAATACGGCCTACAAATCGGAACCGCATTTTTTTAAGGATAAGATTGGTGTAAATAGCATTATCTCTATTTGCCTCTAGATCTCACAACCAACTACCTCGACAAACTCACAAAACATTTTTCTGCTTCTACTCAATAACTCGCAGTATCTCAAGACTAAATCTCTCGAGCGTGCCGTATCTGTTATTTAAAATAATACCTTCCGGTGTCCACCATCTATATTCATCCATCTCTCAACTTCCAGATCCCACATACAGATAACCTATTTGGTACCACTCACGAATTACATGCACTATTTCCGCCATTACTACAAGTAATTTCTCACAGCTCCAGCTATCCTACTCACCTCACCTTTTAATCGATCAACTCCGCAAAATGCCCAAGACTCGCAACTCTGCGTCGCGAACGACACGCTTCCGGCGAAAACCATATTCACATCTTCCGGAACGAGCACCTCTCCCTGATCTGGTTGCTTTACATGAGAATGGAACTTTGCTCTCGGATCAGAGGGCGATGGGCGAGAGCGCTACAGAGGAAGAAGTTGCTGGAAATCTGAAACTTAAGTCAAAGGGCGACTTTAATGGTATGCATTTCTTTTGATTTTTTTCCGCTGTAAAGGAGGAGGGGAATTCTATACATATGAACGTGACGAATACTAATAGACAACAGCAGTACAAACACCATCTCACCCCAAGCCATATATCCAGAGTCCCAAGCTGGAGAAGTTGAACTTCCCAACTCAGAGAGTAGACACAATACACCCTCGCACCTCCCAGAAAACGAACATCTTACCTATCCACCTACTCCCTCAAACCCCCACTCCAACATCCAGCATAACTACCCCCCCTCTTCCAATCCCTCCACCCAAGCAAACCCAAACTCAATATCTCCTCACTCCCTCCGCCAACGCCGTCGCGGACTCCCCGATCTCCGCGTTATCACATCACCTACTCGTCTAGCCGAGCTGAAAAATGGAAATTTCAATAACACATTTATGGAAATCCCTCTTCCTGAGTTAAAGCAGAGAGATTCGGAGACCCAAGCATCACGAACATACCAAGAGCTTCGCCTCCACAACCCCATCTCTGAATCCCAAATGCACAGAAATAACCGGAGGGATCAAGAGAGGAAACATCATAATCGCAAAACCCGCAATCACTACGCCCCCAATTTTCCCAGACAACAGGGAAGAATCCGCTTGCTCACAGATGGACCTCCCCGTCCTGATCCTCGCACTCGATACTCGTTCATACCCGAATCTCCAGATACATCGCAACACATGAGTAACCCCAACCCCCCCTCCAACTCAACCCCCATCCCAACGCCAAACCCAGGAAACATTTCCTCAAACCTCATGATCCCATCAACCCACTCTTCAAATCCCTCTCCCGCACCCCCACAACTCCTCCCAGCACCCCTCACCAACCTCCTCACACCCACCCAATACATTTCCGCCATCCTCTCTCTTCGCGCCTCGACCCGCGATCCTGATTATTTTCCCTTACCACCTGGTATCCAACTTTTTGGATATTTGTCGCAGCAGAATAAGAAGGAAAAAGAGCAAGAAATTAACTTCCTCGCGCTGCAGATGGAACAGGTGGAAGATGCGATACGGCTTGAGGGGGCGCCGGAGGAGGCGAGGGAGGTGTATTATGCGCAGTTTGCGAGGAGGGAGGATTGAGGATGGGGATGGGGAGGAGGAAGAGGGAGGGTGAGAAGTGGATGTGGTTCTTTTTATAGAAAAAAATTGGAGGGAAGGGGGAAGGGAAAGGCAAGAGAAGTTTGGAATGGCAAAGAGAATAATAAAAATCACAAACTTATCAAATTACATATATCTTTTCTTAAAACAATCCATCCACACACAATAGGTAGACATCTCACCACCTCACCACCTCACCCCCTAACCTCCTAACCTCCTCACCCAACCACCCAACCATCAATACTCAACACACCCCCTCCCCCCCCTACTCTTACAAACCCAAAGTACTAAACCACATAAATCTACTCTCAAGTCACAAGTTGCAAGCCGCAAGCCTCAAGTCTCAAGCCCCTATACCTCCTCTATTAGCTCCATCCATCCATCAACTCCATCCATCCATATGCGATTTCAAGTCCAGTAGTATATCTCACCAGTATCGGTACGTTCCCTAAGTAATCATGCGAGTCGAATACAGTCTAATGTAAGGTCTAGTGAGAGAGACCTAACACTGCATTCTGGTTATCCAGAAGTAATTTAGAAAGGAGTCTTCATCTTGTGCATTAAGGTTTCATTCAGACACAATTGGCATCTAGTTCGAGTAAATAGGGGCAATTAAATATCAATCAAGTTCAGATTCGCATACACATACTTCTCACAGCTCTTGGATCACCAATATTAAACTTTTCAGAATAAAAACATGCATCTCGAAGTATCTATTCCCGATCTATCTTCTAATATGCGGTGCATACATGGTAACTAATAAAATTTTGTCTTAGACCGAAACTCATAATTTCAATCTTGTAAAAAAAAAAAAGAGATTCGTAGTCGAGGTAAAAACGCCAAAGACCATACACTATGATGACGACCAATTAAAGTGCCAAACCATAAGTGAAAAGTAAAAACAAAAATAACTCGAAAATTTCTTTTCGTGACCCGAGTTTCCTTTGTCTTGCCCATCCATTTTAAATACTTCGTCTATCCACAAACACCAACCACCATCATTCATCTATGACGTAAACATTTATTCATCCTCATCAGTGAAAACCTCCTCTCCTCTCTTGCGGCGGGCCATACGGTCCTTCTTCTTCTTACGGAGTTCGGCAGAAGAAAGCTTGGCCTTCTTCTTGGTGGAGACAATCTTGTTACCCATCTAAATAAGGTGTTAGTGAATGTTTAATAATAGTGATGGTTTAAACTTACGGCATCGAATTTCTCCTCTTCTTCGGCATCGTCTCCCTTGAGACGAGGTCCAGATCCTTGACCTTGTACCCAGTTGTGTCCGGATGCAACCATCTTTCCGTCCAATACAGCCCAAACTTCCTCAGTGATGTTCTTGGTGAACTCAGCACTGTGAGTAATGATGATAACACCACCCTCGAAGCTTCTGAGAGCCTTAGACAAGGCACCGAGAGAGTCACGATCCAAATAGTTGGTAGGTTCGTCAAGAACGATCAAATGAGGACGTTGCCACGAGCAAGCAGCGAGAACGACCTTGACACGTTGACCTCCGGAGAGACCCAACATACGGGAGTGAGAGACCAACTCAGCATCCAAACCGAAGTTGGCGCAGTGCTGTTCGATCTCCTTTCTAACCAAAGGTCTGAATTGACCACTGGCAAGAGCCTCCTTTTGATCAACTTCAGCAACCATCTTTTGATGAGAAGCCAAGATCTCAGTACGTGGGATCCAAGCGTTGTCTGCAGTCATCATAGGAACCCATCTCTCGTTCTTCATGCCAACGTTCTCTCCGAGAGCGAACGAACATTCATACTCGTAAGAGTTCTTGAACTTACGACGGGAGTGGATACCGATAACACGACGTTGAGTACCTTCGATCTTGTAAATCTTGTCCATAGCCTTCTCATCCTCATCAGTGACAATCTTGTTGGCTCTGTCCATGGTCTCACGATCTTCACCAGTTTGGAAACGCCATTGAATATATTCGGATGGGGTCTTCTCGAGATGGTGATCGATGTGGGCGAAAGCGTGTTGTTTAATGTAGGCGATACGGATGTTCTCGTGGGTGTAGACCTCACCTTCAGTTGGGATGAGTTCACCAGTGAGAACGTTGATCAAAGTGGATTTACCAGCTCCGTTAGGACCAATAACGGCAATACGGGAACCGAGGGAACATTGGAAGGAGATGTCGGAAATTTGTGGTTTTGGAGTACCTGGGTATTGGAAGGACATCTTGCTGACACGAACAATAGCCTTGGCCTTGGTCTTGACACCCTCGAGGAAACCTGGCTCAGGGAACTTGAATTCCATCTCGGAGGCACCAAGCTCGTAGTAAGACTTGGCTTGTGGGCACTTCTTGACGAACTCCTTCAAGTTACCACGATATCTCTTGAGCTTGTATCGCTCGTAGTGGATAATGTGTTGACAGACGTTATCCAAGAAAGCGGAGTCGTGGGAAACGATAATGGAGGTACATGGGGAGTTTTGGAGATATTCCTCGAGCCACTTGACGTTCTTGACATCCAAATGGTTAGTAGGCTCATCCAAAAGGAGAATATCTGGAGACTCGAAAACAGCACGGCAAAGAGCCAACTTCATCTTCCATCCTCCGGAGAGGGCAGTGATCAAGTTGTTGGTCATCTCTGGGGTGAAACCAAACTCAGACAATTGCTTCTCGACTTCCTCTTGGGAGGTCTCGACACCAACCTCCTTAAGCTTCTTCATGGTCCAGGCAATGGTGGTTTGCTCAGTATCAGCGGAATCGAGATCGTGCTCAACGAACACAGTCTTGACTTCGCTCTTCTTTGGGAAACCCTCAACTTGCTCGTTGTTGATAGCACGCATGAGAGTAGACTTTCCGGAACCGTTAGGACCGCAAAGACCATATCGTTGACCACGCTTGAGGCGGAGATGGGTTTGGTTGAGGAGAATCTTAGCACCATACGCCAAGTTGAAGGTACAGTTGCAAAGGTCCTCACCCTCCTCATCATCGGCCTCTTCGGCGTCCTCAGCCTCGGCACCTGGGGAGGCACGCTTGCGGAGGTTGTCGACAACTGATTGAGCATCCTTCTCACCAGTAAGTGCGACGGCGAATGGCTTGAGGTTGGAAGTCCAGCTGTGGGAGTCAGCATCCTTTTCATCGATGAGTTGACCAGCAATGGCGGCGATGTATGTGATGATTGGCTCGAATTTGAGAGCACTCTTGTTGGAGCTAAGGACATCCTTGAGGATGGCCTCAACAGTGGAGACTTGACCAGCGTTTGATGGTTCTGGGATCTTTCCATCAGCGCCGACGGCACCGACACGCTTGATGGTGTCAAGACCTTGCTTAGTCTTTTCACGAGCCTCAGGGTCAGCCAAGTTCTCGTAGTTCTTGATGAGACCTGGCATCAATTTTGGCAAGAAAGCAGCGACAATGTTGGGGTCCTCGACCAACTTGCACATGTTGTCAATGATGACAGCGGACTTTCTCTTGATGGCAGTCTCACGCTCGCTAAGACCACGATCCAAAAGAGGAACCATGATAGCCAAAGTTGGCTCATGAACGTCAGTGACGAAAGTGGTGGCACCGAGCAAGTGAATGGTCTCTGGGACGTTCTCTGGCTTAGCGATACACTTGATCAACTCTGGAATGAAACGTTCGATATCCTTGTTGACGATAAGGCCGCAGACCTTCTCCATGATACCGTATGCTCTCTTCTTGACTTCTGGCTTGGTATCCCACATAGATTCGGAAACGACTGGGATAAGATCTGGAACTCTAAGGGCCAATTGGGTTGGTGCTGACTCGACGAGAGCCTCGATACAGTCAAGACCGGTCATCTTTTCGGGCCATTTTTGAGCTTCGAGGATGGATTTGATGATAGGTGGGAGGACTGCCTTGACAGCATTTGGGTTGACAGCCTTAACGATGGCCAAGGCAGCTGCTTGTGCGGCGTTCTTGACTGGGACCATCTTGTCACCAACGGAGCTGAGGACGGGGCCGAGGAGGACAATGAGGTATGGCTCGACGGCGGCAGAGACTTCGGAGTGCTCAGCAATTGCCTGGATGGCATTGAGAGCGCGTTCTCTGACATTAGCATCCTTCTTGTTTGCCAATTGCTTCTTCAAAGCCTCGACGGTTCTGCAAAGGACACATTGTTAGTAAAGCTGAAAATGAAAAAATTTTGAAGAATTTTAGTGCGACCGTGAGATTGCATATCGATGTGATAAGATGAATGAGAGAATATCTCAAGTGTGAATGAAGTCTTTGACAGATATTCAACCCGATCCATTCCCTTTCTCCTCATCGATGAAAATTTGAACGTTGAAGTCGGAAATACATACTTGGTGGGGGCATCATTCTCCTCGATGTTACCATTGATGAAAATGGCGAGGTTGTGAGTGGCAGCGTTAATGTCAGTCTGCTCTTTCGAAACAGACAACTTCGACATTAAGTCATCTAAGACCTTGATCGAGTTCTTGTTTTCAGCCATCTTTCCTGTTGTTGTTGGGTTCGATGGTGTTTCGATAGAAGGCATTGTAAAAGAAGAGAAGAAGAGGGGGAGAAAAGATGTCGATAAGGATTTGTGGGAATGAAATTTTTGCTTAGCGCGAAACTACCCGTAGTAATCGGTGCGTTGAGAGTGGAGAAGATGTTGTAATCTTGATATATGATTCGACGATAAATTGAGATAAAGTGGGCAAAAGTGGCGGAGAAGAGAGAGAGAATGATTTCGATAAAGAAACCCTTTATTTTTCTATTTCTTTCTATATCGATATTGGATTTATGAGAGAAGACTTTTTTACACTCTTTTTGTTGTTCTCTACTTGATATCCAGAGAACAAAAAGACAGAGGAGGTGGTTTTTTTTTTTAGAGGGAAGAAGAATGAAGGAAAAGAGATGTGATCTTCTTCAGAGAGAGGAAGGCTTTTGGACCCTTTTAATTTTCTGAAGTGGCATTACTGATAAAAAAAATATTGCAAGGGTTTTCTCTCGCTTATTTTCTTAGCTTGATTGTTTTTGAGTGGCGTCAGAAAGTGTGTGCGGCAATTGAATCTCGTTGGTTGATATTATATTGCTGAATAAGCACAAGTGAATTTGGATTTTTATTTTTAAAACAATGTTACAGTTGTAATCTGTAGATACATCTGTCAATCTATCTGTATACGCCAATGATATTCTACGAACAACTTCGAGCGCAGCGAGCTGGGGGTTTGGGGGCTTGCCACCATGAAAGAGGATTGTATGTAGGAATCCCTCTCATAGGTATACACAGTCAATGGTGAATTGTATGGTTCTTTCTCATGAGATATATAATCAGTATGTTAGGGAGTATTCCTAGGTAATATTACATTGTAATAATGAATTATATTAACCTTCCACATGTAACAAACAAGTATAGTATCAAATCTGTATGGTGAACTGAATGTATCTACGAGTACTAGCTAGTAGCGTATTCTTCAACGCCCTTCTTGCAAAGTTCATACAGCCAATACATTATTAGATCGATCTACCAGTATATACCGAATCGGTTTGGCTCATTTCAATCCGGCCAGATTCAACTCAACCATCTTGGGACACGTACGGAGTGAACTGAGCGAATCATGACTCGATAGGTAGGCATTTGATAGGATGTGTATAGCGGCAATACCGTAGGGCGAAACTTAGTCGGAGGCTTGTTATTGTTTTTTTTCTTGCGTGAAAACTCTTCTAGTTGGATATCAAGTATGTTACCTGAGGTATTCAATATGAAAGATATCAATTATGGTATTGAAATTTCTGATATGCAAATTTCTTAGTAAGGTCTTATGAAGATTCCGGGATAACAGTAGGTAGAGGGGAGGGGGTCAGAATTGAGGCGAGAGATTGTGGGGTAACGAAAGAAGGGGAGAATTGCTGCAGGGAGATAATATAAGTGACAATGATCATCCACCCTCCTCAGTTGGATGAAGATATTTTCCATGCTAAAGTCAACACATTTTCCAAGACTGTTCAACATTCTTATCCCTACTGGATATCTACAATGAATATTAGAGAGGTTCTTGGTACCTGATTTGCTCTAAAAGCTGTGTAGACAAAAAGACATGCTCACTACTCGGTAATCATCTCTGTACACTCAAAACCCTCAGCCCAGCCCAGGACAAGTTATCAGGTCTAACCACAGCTACTACCTCGATCAAAATAAAAATCAGCGGAAAATGTCAGCCTTCAGTCAGTCAGCCAGCATAGACAAATCATCTGCATTTGGTTTGTATAACATATCTATCCTCCGCCACCACTATCACTCAGACAGAAAAGGTCTCCCTTCCCTCGCTCTCTCCCTTACGTGCAGAGAACCCCTCATATAGATTTATCGTAATCCGATCAACAGGATCCCGTGTTTCCCCCAGACTTCCTTCGTCTTTAAAACCTTCCAGATTTCTCCTAGGATTTCAATATACAACACCTAGTCTTTCTTTCTTGGCCCTTAAATTTTCGATACTCGCAAAGTTGCTCTTCCTTAAAGCCTCGGAAATGTCGGATATAGTATTGTGAAGCGAGCCGATTCGGATGAGAATAGATTTTAGTACCTTCCTCTTGTACTTGGGTCTATCCCCTTCACTGTGTACTGAAGGTTGTATTTATTCATCTGTTCTGTCTGCCGATTCATTTCTCTTCTGTCGTCTCCAATTATAGTCAACTAAGTAGTTATCTACAATGTCCCTATTCCAAGCGGTCTTGAATGAAATCAAACCTTCATTTGCTTTTTTAAGGTTCAATCTACCGAGACATCCTTCCATTACCTATTCTGTAGTTTCATCGGTAGTCCATGACATTGGCATAAAATCACCTAATTGACAAACGCCCGGTCCCGAGCATTTACTTTGCATTTCGTGTCTGTGCTGTGACAATTGAAACGAACTAACCTTGCTGACTCCTGAAGCTTGATCGCTTTGAAATTCTGTGAACACCGAGATTTATTACCCCACATCCATCTTGAGGAAAGAACCTCGAGAGAAGAATGAAATAAAATCACGTGTCGTCGCTAAATAATTGTTGCCTCAGACACACAACCGAACTTTCTTCATCTACCTGCTACTCTGTGCAGTACCGAGTACCTTTATAATAGACGTGGTTAGATTTCTGTACCTAGGTAGGTAGATTTCTGCAGCTGTCGGGTATTTCTAAACCAAGATAAAATCTTAACACGAATATAACGCTGCTCGCGCTGTTGACGGTGAACTGCCGCATTATCTATTACGCATCATGTATTACCCATCCGTTTATGGCAACGTTAGACGTTATCACAATGTCAATATTCTCCATCTTTCGGTCCCGAGACCATTCAACAATGTTCAAAGTTTCCATCCCGATGATGTTATATTTTTTGAAACATTTAGATATTTCGGAGCTTTACGTATCCCGGTCCCACCTCTTACGAATAGTTCAAAAATGTCTTCTCTCCTTTAACTTTATTTCAACGTGCCAAGATATCTAAGATTGTCGGAGCTTCCTTTGAGCCCATATTTTGAATCTTTCAACACGTTTAATGCATTAATCATAGGATACACTCTTCCGTCATCTAAATGCAACTTTCAACTTGTACAGTGAGCGAGCGGCATATCGCTATATCTGGTAAGTGATTTATGTTTTGCTAATCCGTATCCAATCTACAAGACACGTTCGTGGTACACCGGTGAGCCTCGTACATGCTTGTGTCATACATGTGACATCGATATCAGATACATAACCTAGATATGAGTTCTAGATCTTCAACGATTCGTTGCGGTATGAACCTTCAGTGTCACCTTCTATACAGGACTTTGACATGAGCTTGAGGATTCGATAAAGTGGGTCAAATACATGGGAATTTACCAGGACTTAAGTTCGGTCCCGAGATCGTTCACTTATAATTTTCAACTCCAACGGCTGATCTTTCTTGATTGCGGCCATTAAATTGGCACCCTTAAGGAACCTGGAGCCGGGAATCCCAGCTTTGCCACATTTGATTAGCTGCCGATGGGTTTTCATCCGCTTCTCCGCCAATAGGGATGTTAATATTATCTTGAAGGGTACTATCACAAAGATCTCACTGGCTCTGTGCCTTACAGATTATATGTATCTTCGGAGATTCGATAAAATTCTAAAGCCCGATCCCTCATTCGATTGGCATCCGTTACATGGGATGAAGTGGACGTGTTCATACCAATATATGGCTTAGTCGTCCATTCTGGCTACCTTCTTTCATCGGATGATCAAATCATTGATCAGATAAACCATTTGTCCCCAGTCTATGGCTTCCTATCGAGGAACCATTCCCGCAGTGGATACTCTGCACGTTCCATGGACTCTTCAGTTCATCAATGAACCTGGTCTGAAGTATTAGTATCTGCGCCTGACATTTGCTTGGATAATTTGAAGAAAGCCAAGACACCTACAATGCATAGTGGATTAGTATTCGTGCTTTGAGATAGGTATATAAAGTCGATCTTATCTCCTCGGAGAACTTCCTCTCCTCATCCCCTTCTTTAACTATCAATATTACTTAGCTTTTGTCAAGGACAAGGAAGATGCTTTTCTCTACAGCTACTGCCCTTGGCATGGTCGTTGGCCAGGCCATAGCTGGTTTTTGTCCATATGCTGATGCTCAAGAGAAGAGGAGCGCTTGTCCTTATGCAGGACGAAGTGGTCTCTGATACTCCCAGAGAGTATTTCCCTCGTGCTGGTAGTGGTGCAGCTCCAGGCAAAAAGGGTGTCATGTTCATGAACAGAATTGCACCATCCGTATCCACTCTATACATCGCCAATGCAGATGGAAGCAATGAACGTGAACTTCTCGGAAACAGCTCTTCCTACGATTATCACGGAAACTTCAGTCCTGATGGAAAGTATGTTATCTTCACCACTGAACGTAACGGAGATGGACAATCGGATATCTACAGAGTCAAGATTGATGGTACCGGATTGGAATCTTTGGTGAAAACACCATCTTTCGAAGATGCAGGTGTACTTTCGCCTGATGGAACAACACTTGCTTATGTATCCACCCAAGGAAACTTCACAGCAAATATCTGGGTTAAGGATCTCACTACAGGAGTTGCCTTTAACCTAACCAACACACCTACCACAGCTGGTGACAATGCCCTTCCAGATGGTCATTTTCGTCCTTCTTTCTCGCCCGATGGAGAGTGGATTGCCTTTTCCTCCGACCGTAACACCGCCTGGACCGGACATAGCAACGGTACCGGTTGGGAACACACCCAAGAACTTTCCGTCTACAAGATCCGACCAAACGGATCCGACTTCTCCCAAGTTGTCACCAAAGCTGGTTACTCTCTTGGATCGCCAAAATGGAGCCCAGACGGATCCCGAATTATCTTCTATGAGATGACTAGAGAGAACACCTACAACGCCCACATGACTTCTGTCGACAGTGCTGAGACACAAATCGCATCCGTAGATGTTGCTACCGACTCGATTATGTTTACCATACCTCTGGAGTTGGATGCAAGTCAATGGTCAATTCGTAACTGCCGATGTTGTCGGTTTCAATACCAAGGGTTCAACTGATGACAACATTGGTATCAACTACAACGGCACCGGCGCCGCGAACTACACTACCATCCTGGGTGATATGCGCAACCCTGCTTGGTCTCCAGACGGAACCCTGGTCATCTATGAAAAGACCAGTTTCACCCCCGTCCGTGCAATGGAGAAACCTTTGTACAGTTGGGACGGCGATTTCGAATACCGCTTCACCGATGTCTTCCCCATGCTCTCCAAACAAACAAATTGGTCATCACTCAAAAACAACTCGGTAACTCATCAATTGTCACCATGAACCCAGATGGTACCGATCTCGATCTGGTCTTCGACGTCTTTTCCACAAACCAAACCTCATCCGCAGATACTTCTACTGGTCTTGCAGGTGCATTCCAACCTTCTTGGACTGCCGATGGCGAATGGCTCACCTTTGGACTCGGATACTGGTTTTTCGAAAGATCGATTGAGCCGGGTTGGATTTATCGCGTCACAGCTAACGGTTCTCACTACGAGCAATTGACTTTCGGAGAAGCCGGTGTTTCCAATGCAGGATTCCCATCTTACTCACCCGATGGAACCAAGATCGTCTACAGAGAGTGTGGCCCTGCTCCTTTGTACTGCATCGGTCTCCGCATTCTGAACCTCGCTGATGGTACCGTCACCAACTTGACCGATACCTGGGATAACACTCCTGGTTGGTCTCCCGACGGAGAGCGCATCGTTTTCACCCGTCGTAACCATCTCAACTTTGACGATCTTTCAGCGACCGATTCCTACGACGTTTACACCATCTTCCCTAACGGAACTGGCCTCACACAAGTAACAACCAGTGGAGCCAATGATGCTCACGCTGTTTGGTCCGCCGATGGAAGAATTTTGTACAGCAGTGGAATGTATGGTTTCAGAGAGGAGAGTCCTCTCTACGATAATGCCTTCCAGCCCTATGGACAAATTATCTCCATGAACTTTGATGGATCAAACAAGACCATGTTGACTGATAGTATGTGGGAGGATAGTATGCCTCTTTACGTTCTCAATGATGAGTTTTAGATAGGCGAAGATAATGAGGGATGAGATGGTTATGAATTTGTAATGAGAGGAGGAAAATGGCAACGGGGATGAAAAGAAGAGGAGAGGAGAGGAGAGGAGAGGAGAGGAGAGGAGAGGAGAGGAGAGGAGAGGAGGAAAATTATGATTCTTGTTACTTAGTTTTTTCAGCGAATATCCAAGTTCAATTTCTTCATGCTATGTTAATGTTCTATCTATTCTATCTGATGATTTCTAATACTAAAACAATCTTATCCATGCAAATATGCCTTTTTTTGTATATTCATTTTCTCAATCTCCAAACTCTCCCAAGAACATCATACCCATCTACTCTTCCACATACAAATTCATCCACATACCCACCACCACCACCATTACCATCAAAATGCCTACCTAGTAAGTACCGCAAGATAAAGTTGCATTTCTCGAGTTCATTCGTTTGTGATTTATTTCTTTGGATTATGAACAAATGATGACCGGTTCGCTCGAGTCTAGCACTCTCGAGTATTCGTGGTCTGTTTATCTACAGGTTAATACTAGCAGAATTTGAGAGGTTCTTTCGCGTCGAGGAGTTGGGAAAAAACTGTTTACTTACCTTTCATTATGAATGATGCTGACTTCTGTTCTAGATCTTTAACGCTATAGCATACCGAATCAAAAGCTCTTCCTGTATACTGTCTATACAAAGTATTACAGAAATCATACCTGATCTGGGATCATCACATATGACTGAGAGCTAATGTGGTATGTATGATGACGATCGAGATCATGGTTATGATTACGAGGGAGTATTATGCGGAAATTTTCATGGTATTGACTCTTCAGTCAATATGAAACGTAAAAGTGCCAAGTAGCAAAGAGGAAGAAAAATTAAGGGAGATAGATTTAATAATCACACGTTCTGCGCGCGACACTGTGGTGCTCGCTCAGCCCAAGAGCTTTCGACTCGATGGTACATATGAGGAGGAAGAAGATATAATATTGTATGATCTTGATATATTTATGTAAGACTCACCAGTAGGGTACTTATAGGGTACTGGTAAGTTTTCACTCCCTATAACCTATTCACCGAGTGTAACATTTGAGGAAAGACACATTCTCCCGCCTGAGAATTGATGGAACTTCCCTTAAACTCTAGTACAGATCATTCATGAAGTTGGGATATCGGGAAAAATTTCAAGTCGATCCATTGAACTTGATTCTCCCCCCTTCTCCTCTCCTTTCCTCGCGTCCCTAGACGACTAAGTGGTCTTGGTTCTATGACTACTCGGATAGTAACTTTTCACCGAAGGTGCACCACACTTATTCTTTCCATAAACTTTTTCTTTCCCTATAACCCCTTAATTACCTTCCCCAAATCCTTTAAATCCTCCAAATACGCATCATTTTGCATTTAATTACTCCTGATCCTCATTAATATCATCCGTCCACCTCCTACAAAAGACCAAAAAGTCAGTAAACAATATCTCAAATCTAGATCCCCAAACCCCAAAAATCCCAACACAAAAAAACAAACAAACAAACAAACAACCCACTAACCTCACATAAACCATCCTCATCCCACCTTCCTCGCTCCTTTCAAATCACTCGTATACACCACCATCATAACACATTGCTCCGGATCCAAACCCAAAACCCCCATCACCCACTCATAACTCTCTCTCCGGTTTATACACCCCCACCAACTAACTCGAAAACAACATCTCAAAACCTCCCTTCAACCCCGCCGCTTCATCAAATCGAGCTGTAATCATGTAGAACCATCCGCGTGAACGAAAAGTTCATATTTTTATATTCTTTCCTGTCAGAAGAAATTTCAGGGCGGGAAGAACATCAGGCTAGGGGATTTGAGATGCGATGCCTGGATGAGAAATTCTTTGATGGGGGGTGTAAAAGAGGGGGACAGGGGGAATAGGTTGGACTGAGGAGGAGTGTTTCTAGGGTGGAGAGGTGTGTGAGATTGATTGTTTTTGATGGGGATTGTGGGAGATGCGGGGGTGGTGGTGTCGAAATAGGATTGGTGCTGTTGGAGGAGGAAATCGGATTGGGTTTTTGGAGCGAGTGAGGGGGGAAGGAGGGATGGAATGGGAGAGGTGGAAGATGTGGGAGGTGTGTCAGTTTAGACATGTGCCTATGAAATGAAGAGGATGGCGCGGATCTGGAGGGGGTGGGGGTTTGGTGGAGGGTGTCGTGTTTTTAAACATGTATTTCTTAAGTTTAAGAACTAATTCCCTTTATGAAGATGAAGATGGGAGTTAAAAGTAGAATTGAATAGTTGATAGATACAGAAGATTCCGTATCATCACTCGATATATCGAAATCATTATTCAGATATCATTATGAAACAAGACCATATGTATATCCCTCTCCATATCCCGCTTTGTCACGAACACTTTGTACAATTAATGTGAAAAAATCATAAGACATCAAGTGCGCCCTTCGCCTTGAAAAAACGGATTGAATGATGTCATTCATGCCGACAATTCCGTAAAGATCTATCTTTACCTACCTACCTACTTACCTAGGTACTCCTATTTCTCAAATATCGAAAATATACAATCCACCCGAATATCTCCATCTCCATCTCCTCTTCCACTAAAAACAAAACATCCAAACCCTATCTGAAATACACATCTCACATTTCCCACACGACGATCTCATAACACTGCATGCTATTCAGGTCAGCGAAACAAACAGTGAGCATTAGCTAGGTAGGTAGGTAGGTATTGTAAAAGAGTAGAAGGTGGTAGATGCAAGCATGTGAGCTATGAATTTTACTTAACCAAATGTTGGATCCACGAACAAACCATAAAAAGAAACCAAATCTGGTATATTGTGTCGACTCCAACATCATGGTTCTAAAAGTTTGTTCGGTACTGGTTTGATGCTGATTCGGTAAGGAGAATGAATGAGTTGGTTTCTAGGTATCCGTTCGCAATTATGCATATATTATACTAATTGTGGGTAAGCTTACTTTGCAATAATGCAATATTCAAAACGTCAAACCGAGAATCTCTCTCCCACGAAAACATCACAATTAGTCCTGCCTTAGATATAATACTCATTAGAGCCCTCTATTCCTTATCTCCATCCCCATCCCATTTGCACCATTTTCAAATCATCCAACTCAACTCCAACTCACCTCCACCTCCACCATCACCTCCACCTTCCATCCCCACCAAACAACTCCCCAACCATCCCATCCTACCCTCCCCCCCACCATGCCCGGCCCCCTCGAAATCCAAACCCATCTCACCCCCCTCCTCTCCCCTCACGCAACCATTCTCCTCCCCACCCGTCCCTCCTTCCCCTCTCCTCGCAAGATGGCGAGAATACTCCAGCCCACATATCATCCTCATCATCCAAGTAACCCACGAATCCGACATTCAGAAAATCGTAAGTGTTAAGAATTCCTCCTCATTACCATTCCAACCACTCCATTTCTCCATATAAAATACGTCTAACATACTTCCCATCCACCCAATTCATATACCAACACAAACCACAGATCCACTACGCCAACCAACATTCCATCCCCTACATCGCTCGAGCCGGCGGTCACGGTGCAACCCATGCTCTCAGCCAAGCGAAGAACGCAATCCAGATTGATTTGCGCACCATGAACCACATCACTCTTTCAGACGATGGCCAGACTGCCACGATTGGCGGGGGCGCAAATGTGAAAGATGTCGTGGATACACTTACTCGATTAGGAAAACGAACTGGTAGATTCGCCTTTCCAAGCCATCCATGCCCCAACAACCATGAAAATCCAAACTAATCACTCAACCAGTAACCGGTATCTGTGAACTCGTCGGATTCTCCGCGCCCGCTCTCGGGGGTGGTCATGGTTGGCTTCAGGGCCAATATGGACTCATGGCCGATCAGGTACTTTCCGCCCGTCTCTTGCTGCCTGCTGGTGAACTGGTCACTGTATCGGAGAAATCGTATCCGGATTTATTTTGGGCCATTAGAGGCGCGGGACATAATTTCGGGTTGGTGATGGAATGGGAGTATTGTGTTTATGACGATATTGCCCCGTTATGGTCTTATGAAATCTTCATTTATTCAGGAGACAAACTTGAAGCTCTCTATGAGGGAGGCGAATAGATTGTTGCGAGACCAACCAGCGGAGCTAGTTCATTGGGGATATATTATCAAGGTTGCAGAGATTGATTCAGATCATGTAAGTCATTGTCCCGACGCACTTTCCTTGGGATTGTTTAGAAGCCAACAATTTGGTAGCCGGTACTGTGGTTCGGTATCATCTACAACGGCTCCCCCGAAATAGCCAATCAATATGCCAAACCATTTCATGACATCGGGCCACTTAGTGTACAGACTGGTCAGGGATCACTACACGATCTTGCCGTCGTCACGTTCCAAGACGCCGATGGTCCAGGATGCGCTTACGGAATGACATCCCTCCGATACCCCATCGGATTAAAATCATACAACGTGACGGCCGTTAGACAAGTATACAATGAGATCGACTCAACATTCCGCAAAGTTCCAGAGATAGCTGGTTCATTCTTCTTGCTCGAAGGCTACTCGACTCAAGCGGTTTAAAGCCATCGATGCAGCAATCACGGCGTTTCCGCACCGAGATGATAATATCTTGGTTACATCGTACGTCATGTATGCGCCTGACTCGAACATCGACCCGAAAGCAAAGGCATTTGGGGAAAAGCTTCGAAAATACTTGTTGGATGGAAGTGACGATCCAGAACATCTCCGCGCCTACGTCAACTATGCCGATGGCGATGAGTCTTTACAGGCGATCTATGGGTGGGAGGCATGGAGATTGGAGAAATTGAAGAAACTTAAACCTCAGTGGGACCCTACGAACATCATGCGGTATTATGTTCCTATTGAACAGAACATCAATTAGTTCTTACAACTAGCTTAGAACTGTATTGTAAACTCGTCCAACGATAGTCAAAGAATCAGTATTGGCAAGAAACTTGCTGATGATCACTGTGCCGCTCACTATTGGGACTGTGCATTCTGTAAACGAAGATATACCTACAAAAAATGCCAACCTAAATTTCCCCATTGAAGTATAATTTCATGATTCTATCTAGTACCTCCCGAGTTCCTTAACCAATACGAAGATATTATAACTACACGATGTCGTGATTACACTATAACCACCACAAAGTCAACAATAGGTAAGAAAAAAAAAAGCAGATCCGACGAACTCCATCGAACAGCAAGGCCGAGCCAAACCAAGCTAGAACACCAGAACGAGATTTAAAGTCATCCACGTCAAACTATCAACGTCAAATCATCGCCATCAACTCACCCATCAAAAAAAATGACACATCCAACCCAACCCAAGCCAACCCAACCCAAAAACATCAAACTTTCTCCTCTCCAAACCATCTCCTCCAACCTTTCATCAATCATTCCCAATATATGCGAGTGAGTGAGTAACACTCCAACTCACTATCTCCAATGACGAAACCACAAACTCAAAACTTCCCTCCCTCTCTCTCCCCCCCCCCTCTCTCTCTAAAAATAAAATAAAATAAAATAAAATAAACATCATTCCCCGTCCACCCAAGTCCCATCCCCATCCCGATCCCTGTCCCATTGCATTATGAAATATTGAAATTCAATTTAAAGTTTCAACGTTGTTTGCTTGTCTTGTTGTCTTGTGTACTTGTGTGCTCCAATTATATCTCTACCGATCACATACTCCGTATATTATGATACACACCTAGTATATCGATTTGTATCGTAGATTTGAAAAAGTTTGGTACAGTACTACGGTACTTACAAATAAATGTAAGACTTACGAATCGATTAATGTGGTAAATGTCTGTGAGTTCAAGTTCAGCAGTTCTGATTGTGAATTTGTGAATTCAAATCTCCGAAGGGGGTTGCTTGTGTATGGGGAAGTGGATGGAGGGAGGGAGAGAGGGAGGAAGGGAGGGAGGAATAAATAAAATATAAATATAAATATGAACGTAAATGTAAATATAAAATTGCTGGATAGGGATATAGGGAGGGGGAATGGATATAGGAATGCATACATATGGATTGGAAAATGGTAGACTTCTCATGATATCTTTGTTTTTCGTCTTTGTTTTTTGTTTTTGATGATGGTGTGAGAATGTGAAATGGGGAATCGATGTTGTAGATGACGATGTGTCTTTTCTCGTATCGAGCACAAGGCACAAATACAAGCACAAGCACAAGTACAATCGACTCTTCACCAAGCTCCAAGTTCCAAATAAGTAAAAATTGAGGATATCTCCACCCACTCACCTACCAATCTATGTACCTACGAGTATCGTATCCAATCATCAATTCCCAAACTTCCCCTCTCAAAAAAGCTTACAAATATTCGAGTTACTCCGTGGTTCTCTACTCGTAATTACTCGCAGAAGCAAGCAAGCGCAAGTAAAACCAAACCAGTCCAATCCAATCCAATCCAATCCAAACCCAAGCAACCCACTCCCAAATCCTTGCCTCAAAAAAAATAAACACACCACGCACATCTTATCCCCATCAAGCGTGACCTCTTCACATTTTCATTTTCATTTTCACATTTTCGTTTTTCTCCCAAACCACGCCAAGGCTCTTCCTTTCTAGCACCCACCCAACCCACTAGGGATGGGCGTGGGCGAATTATATAATTTGAGGGTCGATTATATAATTTCATATTATCATACTTTTGAGGCATATAAAATATTATACCAAGCTTATACACATGTTTTTTGAACCAATAAAACCATCAGGATGAATGAAAATGAGTCGTTTTTGAAAAAAGTTTTTGATAGTTCTAATTTTCAATTTAATGTATAATTAGATCCAAAAGTCAGATGCTAACTATGTGATTTATATACTAATTATTTTCTTTTCAAAATAACTTTAAAATAGTCTTTTATAGGATTTTATAATTAATTATACATATAATACAATTTGACTAATATACGATATTATATATCATCAAATCGCTCAATCCTATCACCTACCCATCCCATCGGAGATAAACGACCAAAAAGGAAAAACCGAGCACCACCCCCGACAATTTTACCCTGGAGGAAGGAATTCGCGTGCGCCCGGAATGAGTACGCGTGCTCCGGGAGGGGAGGGAGGAAGGGGGCACTTTTTGGTTCGGGCGGTTATACTCCGTACGATGGTATGTATATGTGGACTGTATGTGTATGTGTGTGTGTGTGTGTGTGTATGTGCTTTGAGCGTTTTGTAGAGTTTTGAGTTTGGGGTTTGGGTTTGGGGATGGGGATGATGAGTGAGTGGGTAGGTGGGTTTTTTTATTGATTTTTTCATTTGTTTTATTTTATTTATTTTACTTTATCGGAATGGTATGTTTACCGGTGCGCGTAAACGCACTGTGTGATGGGTTAGGGGAATTTATGGAATTTAAATTATTGGGTGGAGAGTTTGATCTTGGGAGCATGCGTCCGTTCGTCATGGTGTCAATATTGGTGTCTGGAAAGTGTAATAGATTGGGAGCTGAGGGAGTGGAGAAAGAAAGTACTGTAAATGGAAAAAGCTCTGAGTGTACTAGGTAGATATCAAGAAGTATAGGGTAGGTAGGTAGTCTATTCTATAAAAATTTTATGCGTGGTGCTTACTTGATACAAGATGACAGACAGACAGACAGACAGGACACAGACAGACGATTATCGTCAGAGCATACATATTGCAGATGTAGTCTGGAGTCTGGTGTCTCGTCACACGAGTTAATGACTCGATGATACTCCCTTCCAATTCCTTGTCCTGCTTGCTGTGTGTGTAGTGAGTGGATTGATACATACATAGTACATCCATCCATCCATCGTTCAGGATCAACTCCTCGTACATCCCACAGGCTTATGCGCAGCGCAACCCACCAACCGTAGCACGCGGGGTTGAACGAAGCCAGCCAGCCAGCAAGAAAAAAGCGCACAGGAATTTCCTCTGACCATATTCCATTTCACGAGTCGTTGAAACCCGTGAGCCGGCGCGGTTGGAGCTTGGAATCCCTTCTAGGCTTTCTCAGGAGTCAGGTCTGCTGGCTGAGCCCGAAGCCCGTGTGGCGGGTTCGAGGATGCATTTCGACCGTTCGGTGGTGAGATGGTCGACGCCTTCGATTCATCCGTGCTGTGGGATATTGGTCACCTGGGAGGAAAAAATTGGGTAGATGATCGTGGAGAGAGCTAAGGAGGATGGTTATGGGAGCGTGATGGCTTCTGGAAGATCCATCTCATCTAGAAATTTGAACTTTTACGACCGCGGTGTGCTTGGATTCGAATATTGTTTGTGCAAGGGAAGACAAGTTGATATTGAGGTGGTGATACAGAATGCAGCCATACACTGCCACGAGGATTAGATTGCCCTTGTCCCTGTGCTTCTCCAATTCGGTATGCGACTCTTTTGCTGATGCATGGTTACCTTTTTACGTGTCAGGCTACAATTCGGATGGGAAATGTGATCCAAGTACCGTACCTACAGGAATGCACTCCGCAAGCATATGCATTGGAATTATTGATGTAGATGAGCTGTTCGCTTAGAGAAAAAAAGAAGAATCAGTGTGGATAGACGATTGTGGCATCGTGATTCGTGACAATCTTGGTCTCTTCTCGAACATTAATCAAGGCTAATGACTACCTAGTAACTGGATCAAGTCTATTACGATCTGGCAATTCCCCTTGATTCAACCAATAAAATCAATGAGAAGTAGAGGAGCAAGGGAGGAGGCTTGAGTTTCTTGTATCTATACAGATACCTATAGCATGATTGGCTTAATTTAGATAGGAATCACCAAGCAGAGTAAAGTAGTAGTAACCTGTCACCCTGTGCCCCAGATGCCCAGATTTGGAGGCTTTTCGGGATTTAGGGTGACGACTTGAAAGGTATCGTCGGGGCGGTTGAAGGCTTACTCCAAGGGCAAGCCTAATGGGTACATTCTTAAATGAGCCTGGGGAAAAAATGTACGAATCCAAACTTGCACTGCTAAAAATGATCCAGGTTGTTATCCATGAATGTCAAAATTACAAGGAAGATACCAACCATGGATCGATATTAATATTTTCTCGTACCTTGATCCTACGGGACTTCCCTCTCTCGTCATCCCAGAAACTGTTACCGACTCTGCATCCATACTCGTAGCTCATAGCTTGTATGTAGGTTGTCGGTTGCAGGTGGTATTGAACATGATTGTCTGTAAATCATAGCCAGAAAATCATAAGGACCGTCCATCTTTCTTTCGCCTTCATCCCATTCCCACCATGACTGAAGAGTGAACCCTGAAAAGCCCTAACATTCACACAGATAGATACGAGCACGGGTATAGGTAGGTATCGGTAGACTAAAATCCTAGGTGTAAATTTTATGCCATGCATCAAACAGCTGTACAAAAACCGACCGGGACCTCATGCATGCATGAACATTGAAATGTTTCCCTCCAGCTACACTGGTCGATACCTAGGTACATACTACCTCGTAGTACATTGATCGACCAGCCGGGTTCTTCAGGTCCCTGACTCCCTGGACGTTAATAAGGTTCGTTCTAGATCCAGAAGAAAAAGACAATTAGCGTACACTCTGACTCTTTTCTCCCTCTGCCTCTTGTTTCGTCTCATTGCCCAAGTTCCTCCCTCACGAGCTTTCATACATGATGCATCTGATGAAATGTCATCGATTCTTGATCTCGTACCTGATTTGTGGATTCAAGTTTTGGAGAGGTGGATTCTTGTGGATTCAAAGGATATCCACCATCAAGAGCCAAGGTCAAGAGTCAAGGTCAAGACTCAAGACTCAAGTTTTTTTTTCCGAAGAATATTGGTTCATCTCGTAAGTCGCAACTAGAGTTTGAAGATTTGAAGCCAATGATTGAAAGATGTGACTACCTACTACATAGATAGCGAGGCAGTGTGG